AATCATATTTTACCAGATCTTATCATACCAATAAATATAAGCGTTTTATCTTATGCAAAATAGTTTGAATAATATTTATTATTGAAAAAAAAAAAATCCTGCAAATTTATGTGCCTAACTTAAGGATGTTAATCGGATATTTTTTTGCAATTATTTAGTCGTTAATTTTTTCGACCAAGAGTAACCCGTTATCCAAATAGAAATAACCATACTTTCACCGACATTCACATGAATTTCTCTTCTTAGCTGCTATTCTTACTTTTTCATTGACCACTGATAACGATTAGCAAATTCATAACTTTTTCTCAAGAAATCACTCTAATAGCATATGTGTTCCGGGAATCGCACGATACTAGTACTTTACTGGTGAAATTGAAAGTTGCGGGAATTTTGCGCCTAATTTTTCACCACTGAAGGAGGGAGGAGGGTCTACTCACACACAATATACACTAGTACACTATGCAGCAACACAGTGAACTAGTGTACCGTACATAAAACAGGCGCCTCATATATTTCTTTTAAAACTGTGGTTGCTTGGTCTTTGGATTATGTACTCTTTTTAAAAAAAAATATGGTTCCTGTCTCTCTTAAAATATTACCAATCAGTCGATCTAGGTGGCATTTTGTAGAAGAATTAGCACAGTTTGCTATACTTAAATAAACAAGAACAACTATCCAGTTAATCATTGCTGAGTAAAACATAGTTGTTGTTTTTAGCGCATCAATTGGAACAAAAGCAGATAAAATATTCTGTGCGGGAGTATGTAAAGTTTGATTAGTATTCAGGGTAATAATTAGATTGCAGGGACATATTTTGACAGTGGCGGCGTCCTATGAACTATTTAACTGGTCAATTGCTGCATTTCAGTTTTAAATATGCTACGAAGGCCGTTCAGAAATTACGCGGACTTATTGCACAAAAAATATATTTGACGACATAATCAAGCAAAAAGTCCCAAATAATATAAAAGAATCTTTTCATTTATGGTCATCAAAATTTCATATCAAAATATTGTAAATTGTTATCAATTTCGGGTTATTTAACAGGACATATCATGAAGTCACAGAGCAGTAAAACCTTCAACGTCACGGGCATTTTAAAAAATGGGAGCTTTCATTTTCTCAATATTTCTCCTCAGTATTTGAGACAGTATAGTTTGGGATACCTTATCCACTCAGAATAAACATCCATATACCATTTCTGATCCAGCTTAAAAACTACAAAACTAAAAAACTAGTATTGTGTGTTATAGTTTGTGTTAATCCCCAAAACTGCAGATATTTCTGAATTAAAGTTTGACGTCAGTCGATCTCAATCACATTCTTAACAGTCCAGATCAGTGTTTTGCCAATGAACTTCTTCCATCCCTCCCGGATTGCCTTTTGGCTAAGGTCTAACAGTCTAAAATTCTTTTTTTTACATTTTGTAGAGATGTGTCGGAAATTCCGCTGGTTTATTATATGTTTCATCAGGCTTTTTGGGTTCTCGGTTGGCGTTTTCCCAGCATGATTCATGATTTGATAAAAGTGCGCTGCTCCGTCAAATCACGAGACGTCATTTTTGCAGTTGATTTCGTAGGGGTCACATCAGAGAAAAATTACAATATTTCTGTTCATACTTCAAATATTACGTCAGAAATCTAAATACTTAATATTACAATAATAAAAAGAAATTTTTAAGAAAACTTGCTGAATAATATCGTGAAATATGAAAAATAAATGAATAAAATTTTGGATAGTACCGCATTTTTGTTTTTCAACGTTTTAGCCTTGCTCCGTACATCACCATCAGGAGTATCAAGACAGCAATAATTTTATGAGATATTAAATAAAATCAAGAAAATTTACCTAGAATTTACTGGAATATTTAAGAAATGTGTTCCTGTGAAATTTCAATTCTATATGACGTCTGTGAGAGTAAATAATAGCAGAGTCCGCGTAATTTTTGAACGGCCCTCGTACTTAGGAGTTTTAAAAGATAGCAATATTAAAAAAGTATATATACTGCAAAAATATCCACTAATCGGTTATAAAAATTGTAATCGGTTACGACCTTTTGTCTGATTAGTCGTTAAACGGTCATCCCTAGCCTAAATTATTCAGTTTACATTCAATTTTGGCAAAATTTGTTGTTCTACAGATATTACTTGAAACCTACATTAGTATATCTTAATATATCATTGCAAAAAAATATTTGAGTAAAAAGATATTAAAGTTCAAAGACATTGTATAAAACACACTGTGGATATTGAGAATTTTCTTCTAAATTTAATTTCTTTTCACAACAAGGAATGGTTCCTCATAAATCTTATTTCTTATTAATTTTGTGAGCAGATTTTAAATTGAAAATTGAATGATTTTCATTGCTTAGTTCAAATCTGTTATAAAAATAATTTTTAATTGATAATTTTGACAGAAGAGATTCTAACCAAACTTTTTCAGAAGCTTACCAGTGACATACATGTACCGTACAATATAAATAAAAGATTCAAAGGTGTCGATTTTGATTCCACTACCTTGTAACCCTCCCACCCCTCACCGAACTCAAGCGATATAAAATCAAATAAGAATTGATAAAGGACAGGTTCAATCCTGATCTATGGTTGTGTTTTAAAATTTATTACTAGAAAGCGTATATTTAAACAAGCACATCATGCCTGCAGCTTATGAAGATAAAATTAATGCTCAGCATGCTTTTTGAAAAAAATCACAATAGAAAAGAAATGTTGATTTAAAGTGCAATTGGATTCCGAGTAAGAAAAATATTAAAATAAACCAGATGGCTGCTTGTTACACTTTGATATGTCAGTGATAAGAAATTACGCAATTTATTTAATTGATTCAAATTTCAACGTTATTCTCCTACAAAGAAAGTTAAAAATAGAAGATACTTCAAGATCCCTTTAAATTGCTAAATTCAAACAATTATATTGCCATATATAGTATTTATTAATCCCGGTGTAACCATCGATTTTTCTTGAATATACACAGGGTTTTTGACTAGAAATGTTTGTTGATTGATGCTTTGAAAATGTATAGATTAATCTTGCAATGGCCAGTAGTTTGACGAATATTCACAAAATTAGGGTGTAATATGGAGGAATCTTGTATGGTGAAATACGGAGATAACAACAGTTATCAAGCTGAAAAGTTTATTGAAACAATACGAATTGGGAGTCACAGCAATCACAGACCTCTAAAAATATCAGAAATTTGATTAGGTGCCACGGAGGAGTAAGCGTCCCCTGACGACCAGTCACACCCTCCTTGTGCTCCTTGTCATGATCTGGTTTAAGGAAAAAAAATCCGTAGATAATTCATTGTAAAAATAATGGCCTAACAATTTGTGTAAAACATCAGTCAACATTCAACTTAAGGATAGATCGTATTTGCTAACAAGGTCAACGATCGACCTTAGAATGTACGAAATGTTGACTTTAAACGAGACCATCGATATTCTTGTAATATCAACTTTTTTGTCAATAACCTGTTTTAAAAGTTGCTCTTACGCTTGAAAATAAACATACTATATATGTTTTAATATTGATTTCAAAGTAACACGAGTAATTTGATATGTTTTAGTATGTACTTGACACAAATGGTTATGTCCATTAATTTTAAACACATTCTAGACCCCCTAAAATCGATGGAAAGTAGTTGATCTGAAAAACGTGACGAACGATGGTATCATTATAGTACAGGATTTTTTTTAACTTAAGAAATTTTTGAAACACCAGGTACCTGTTTTCCTTTTTATGAATGTTATTTTACAGAAAATAGTGTATGAATTGATGGACTATCCTTCGCAGTATAAATAGAAATTTACTGTATGAAACGTAACCAAACATTAAAATTAACCAACTCGACTTGTCTCCGTAAAAACTATCTTTTTTGCAATGGAACATATATGGGACTATCTGGACTGTAGGGCTTGAAAGCGTTGGAAAGGTCAAGCGTTTCTCCTCCCAGCTAATTTCTTCCTTATCGGAGAGGTTGAATAATAATCCTATGAGAAAGATAAATGCACCGATGAACTCCAAATATATATATATTTTTTTTTTCACACTAAAATAAAATTAACGAATTATTTGTGAAAACCAGTGCATATATCTTTTGTTATTTCTGACAGGAGATAACCATAAATATTCAGGCAAAACTTTAAGAGGGTAAAATCAGTACAGGCTGTGCTAGTGGATTAAACCTATCAAGCAAAAAATCTATTAATGACAAAAAATGGATAATGATTACAGTTAAAAAAGCCTGAAAAAATTATAATCCATTGCCAATACCATACACGTATTGTTCAAGAATTTATAAAAACTTTTACAATACCAGATATTATGTCAGTGAAAACAAAGCAAACAGTTTTTTTTTTCAACTGTAGTAATTCATAGACAAATAATATACGGACCAGCAGGTGTTTTTATGAACACACACGGCGGATACACACACATTCATAGATATGTTACATATTTGTTTCTTTTGAATGCTTCTAAATAAATTAACATCCCTCCTGTTTTTGTAATACTTTTATTTGATCTATAACATAACTGTGAATAACAACCAGGTGTTCTGAATTGCCTCTTAAATATACATTAACACATTTCCGTGCACTAATGGGGATATTATTTTCAATCTAGAGCGAAAAAAAGTTTTACTCTTTACCAGAGTTGAACAATACTTTGACATATGGATTATTTTTACCAGCCTTGACATACCGCATGGTTATGCAAACACAGTTTGATTTTGAAATATACATTCAATCGCAGTATTGAGTTGAAATATTGACAGCAGAAGCTTATGTGTTATATGAATACTAGCCCATATGTTTACATACTTCAATTTTTATTAAGCAATCTTTTTCTCCTGTGAAGAGTAGATGGGGGTAATCGTTTTAAAGTTTCTTTGAAGTTCAAACAAATCAGAAAGTTTGCACAATGAGTGATACAATGGATTTTTACCTCAGTAAAATATTTACTACGACTCAGTTAAGATAAATATTTAACTGATTTATACATAAACGCTTCCACTTTCCCAGGCAAAGCTATGACATGCCAAAAACATACCATTCCGGATTCCTCATCTCATTAAACAGTGGACTTAAGAAAGATTTCAGCCGTGATTTGAAGACATTGATATCTGATTGAGGGAATATTTAAAGGAAGAAATGAGACATCCTGCCTTCTGCGCAAAGGCATTCGATTTCAATTCACCAAGGATATTATAGTGTAGAAAGTAAAGGGAGACACGCTGTAAACATCATACCGGAGAAACACATGTTATTCTTATTTATGGATAAAGGTTAATCGGGGAGAATATTCCAATGATTCATAATAACTGGAAAGATGAAGAGTGTGTAATAAATTTCAGCAGAATCTTCTCTATGTCTGCGATAGCAGATGCAATCTATTTTTTGCTTGTGTGAAGTGGAAAATCTACAGTCACCTGTCATTTTATGGAATCTTACCTTTCACCATTGTTTACTTGGAAGCTGTTTAGGCTAATGTGTGTTTTGAGTGAGTATATTTACAAGTCTATGTTTATTGCTTCAGTCTACTTTTTTCAGGTGTAGTGTTTTCTACAGTCTTGTAATGGGTGACAATGAATCGAGTGATATTGATGAGATAGGATGATATTTTCTTAAAAAAAATAATCAAAATGTAAAGTTTACTTGTTAGAACATATATCTACGTAAAAGCATTAAATGCATTAAAACTAGAACTAGAAAAAAAATATTTAAACTGCTTAAAAACTTAAAATGAATAGTTCTTCAACCCAACACATATGATTGACTCTTAATGACTACCATCTTAACATATACAGGAGAAAAGGTCTGTAATAAATAAAGGATAAGTGGAGCTGGTAAACTTTATGTGCAAGCACATAACAGTGTTAAGAGGAAAAATCATGTTAAAATGTATTCTTTTCTTTGATTTATTTGGTATTATGCACACGAATTACTCTGTTATCTAAACAAACTTTTGCACAGGTAACTGAAACTTAATATAAAAAGATATTGCCAACTTTTCCTTTTTTAATCTTTTTTTTTTTAATTTATTTTCATTTCATAGAGGTAATATTCAGTTTCAATTTCATATCTCAATAAAATATTGTTTTGTATACTAATCTCTAAGTCTCATTCTACTGAAGAATCGAGGTTTGAGACACCACTGGGTGTTCTTTGTAAGACCCAGTGGAACAGAAATAAATCTTCATTAGAAAAGGAAATTTTCAGTTAAATTATACCATTTTTGGCTAGGAGATTTATTTTCAAAAATATGACTTCTTTTTTTAAAACCATTTTTAACACTGAATAACTGAAATTTATTCACTGCAGAAAGGATTTTACAACATTGTGAAAGAATATCAAAATGATATTTTTGTCAGCGTGAAAGGATATCAGATGTACGGCAAATTCCTCTTTTTTTTTTTTTTTTTTTTTTTTTTGCGTTTAAGTTTGAAAAATATCTGACATAAGATAGAGTAAATAAACCATGTTTATGACTGACAGAAACTAAAAACTGCCAAAGCTTCTCCAAATATGTTGTTGAAATCCATGTTTACAGTGCTATCAATCTCAATATTGCTAAGCTATGACTTCTATCCTGCTCAACTATGATTTCACAGCCTATGACACTGTGTTACAAAAAGACACAGGCATAGAGAAAATCAAAGAAAATGTAATGAACAGAACATTCAAAATTTTGCAGTTGAATAGGAAATTTATTTTAGTCTTGAAACAGGATTTTGTTTTTAAATTTTCACTCGTATTTTTGCACTCGTGAAAACATGTAATAATTGCCATAATTCCCATATCCCTACAAAATATTGAATATTTTCTATTTATTTTTACTCTACTTAATTTGCCTACCCAAGAAAAAAACATGATTCTAATTTGAGCAAACTTGAATGCCAATTACCCAAGAATGCATTGTGTTAACTTGATTCAATTATTCTGGAAAAGTCGAAATTAGTTTCAAAAAAAAAAAAAAAAAAAAAAAAAAAACTTAAACTTGACAGACGAAAGGAATTAGCAAAAGGCCGGCCTAGGTCCTCTGAGTAACCTTTTGTGGCGTCTGGAATTATGAATTTTCAAGTATTTGCAGAGCAGCATTGATATGAAATAATATCATTAAAACTTCAATGAATAATAAGTACAGTGTATTGTCTTATGTCTCGAACGCTCCTAGATGTCCAGAAAAAAATAAATTTATCATAACAAGTTGACCACATTTCTGCCACTATATTTACATTCAGGTCATGAATGATAATTATTTTTCAATCTGTAATCATGGTAATTGAGATCTTTGTTTTTGGTTGCAGTATTCGCGATCTTGTTTGAATAAGAAAAGAAAATTTTAAATATTTCAGGTACTGTAGACTTATTTATTTCCACGGGGTCATATTTTTGCGGCAATGCATTTAAAAAAAAAGTCCGTGGAACTGTGTACATCTAGAATTGTAAAAAGTATTACCGTTATCATGCCTTTCGTTAAATGTTTTACGACGGCCGAGCATAACCCTAAATGCTTTTCTCTACGAGTACTACTAATTCTAAGTATACAAGAAGAGTATATAAAGTAAGCGTTTCAGAACAGACACATACTACTCCATATCACATTTAGAAGCTCTGAAAATATTATTTGATCGATGTCTTTACTTACCACCTTAATGCAAATTTTTCCACGCAAATATATCCTTCGCTTTTTATAGGCTAGCTTTTCAAAAATATATTCAAATCATATAAATGAATAAAACATTTCTTGTTCAGTGAAGGTTGGTTACATTATTCAAGAGCCCTGAATGACTTTTTCAGGTCTACTTTGTAGAAACATTTGTTGTCTGGAGTGTTGGAAATGTATAGGGGAGGAATGTGGTGGTGAAGAATTCGAAGAATATTCACAGAAAGTTACCTGCGGCAAGGGAAATTCTTGTATGGTATAAATTTACTTATTCCTGTAGTGTTTTATTGTTTATTTTTAGGTAGATAAGACTGATTACTTAAAAAAAAACAAAACAAAAAACAAAAAACAAAAAAAAAAACATATATGTCGTTCGATCACCTCATCAAATAGATATTACAATTTAATTATATAAAAAGTTTTATTAAAGATGAATTTGGGAGAAAACAAAACAAAAACAAAAAACAAAAAACTGCTGTTTATTGAATTTCGATATTCTTTTACAGAAAATTGTGTATGAAATGATAGACTACTCATCAAATGCAAAGTACGAATCTGTTGTGAGGACGTGTTCGAAAAGTCCCTGTGTCCCAGTCACTAAAGAGACATTTAATGCATGTCGAAGGAAAATTCGATCTTACAGATATTATGGATGTTCAATACGATCATGTTGTATATCGGATTTATGTAACGCTGCTGTCGGAGTGTTTAGTTGGAATCCCACAATTTACTTCTATATGTTAACAATGTTGGTTTTGCTTTGTAGAATGTGAACTATAATGTAAGTATTAATTACTCTTTTTTTTTGGATAAAAAGGAATAAATTGATACGACATTTACTAAGACTTGATCAATTCCAGAAAATTCCATTGTTTTATATCTAGATTCGCAGATTGCTTATGTAGCTATACCTGTTAAACACTTATCCACCAATGGAAACGCTGATCATTAATAACATAAACATTCAAACATGTTTTAAAATTTAGTTGAGCTATATTAATTGAATAAATACAGAATGATATACGTATTTGAAAAAGGTATAACATATTTGAATACAGCTGCCATTGGTCTCTACAAACCCTCAGAAAAAAAGCCGATGCCAAGGATTTTTCTGTACAAACATTTCATTGACAAAATTGATCTCGATTTTATTAAATTTCGAAAGAGGATGAATTCATTCGGAATGGAGTCTTTATGTCGCTTACACTGGTGCGTGCAACGCTGTTATTTTTTTTTTTTTTTTTTTTGATAACTAAAACCGATGACGAGACCTGTACTAGTACTCCTACAAAATACAAATAATAACTCAAATTGAAAAAAATTATTACTAATTTTTATAAAAAAAAAAAAAAATAAATAAACAGGTACTTTAGTCGGTCATATATTTTGAATCAAAAATGTATTCTTTAAATGATATACTTGAGTATATTTGGCAAATATTATCTTTTTATTGTTCTGAAATGGGTTAAATGAATCTTAGTGCTTTGTCTGTAAGATTTAATGTCTCTGTGATCTTTTATCCTTTTTCGGCATTTCAAAAGCAAATGAAATTGTGTTGTTTTTCAGAATTTTATTAGCAATTATAACCGGTTTTAATAAAACAATGCACCAATTACAAATATGGATGATATTTTTCTATTTTGTGATTCTGTTTGTAATCTATACCTAACAATCGATCATTGTTAAAACATATGAATGCGCAAAATTCAAATTTCGGACATTTTTTTGTCTATTTATATTCATTTTTCAGAAGCATTTGACAAGAAGCAGTTCTTCGTTAATCCCATTATCAGACATTTTTCTTTGCAGAAATATAAATTGTGACAAGAACGCCTGTCCATCGGTAAAATGTATTGACAAGCTGTCAACCATTTTTAAGTTCAAACTTTCCATGCATTTGTATTGTCTAATGTAACTGTCAATAGTCGTTTACCTGGTTTGCATCATATCTCTCTGATCTGAATAAGACCCTACATTCTTTCCTCCAGAATAAAAACCCATCTTTGAGTTTGCAAGCATGTAAAGATATTACAATATAAATCCCAAATGTATACTTTTATTGAAAATTGTAAGATACAAAAAGATTTGAAGCGAAATGAAAGGGCACGAAATATTTTATATAGAAAACCTTCCCCAAGTAGTGTTTATCGATCAATTGTATTAACTGTAAAAATATAATTTGAATCAAACGTTTTATGACAGTAAATAACACTTGAAGGTGTGAAGATAAGACAAATCAGTCAAAGAGTGGAGGAAAACAGTTTTCTCCCACTTACACGCTAATTAAAAGCAATGTTTATGAGAAATATGCTATCACTATATAATAGATGTTCGTTTCATGCCCGTCCTGTTCTGACACAAGAAGTTACGATCAAGTAGGGCTGCCTTTATTCTTGTAAACAGCGGAAAGTTTATTAGTACAGCATGTGTGTATATAGGTTTACAGGAAAGGAATTATAGGATATATTTGTTTCTGTAACATGGTATAAATTTTACAAGATACACTTATGGATGTGTTCTGCTGATAATACTGAGTTGTCAGCCATTCATACAAAACTCTTCTAGTTTTATCCATCAAAATAATCATACTTTTTGTTCACCCCTATTATCTGTTCATATTTTCCGACATCGTTGTTTTATTTGCTTTCTAAAATATATGAAGAAAAGTATAATTCCAAATCATAAAATTTTCAAGAAAGACATTTCTCATTCATTGTCTATAAAACAGTCCAAGATGTTTGGTTCCCTCTCATATTAGTAACGCCTTATAATATTTAAAAATAAATTCCCTAATTCCTATTTTTCCATATCATTTTGTTTCAAACAATAAAAATATCGAATCAAAGTGCCAAAATTGAAAAGTTAATTCAGTTAATTCAACACAATACATCCTTAATTACATACAAAATCAATGACATAAAATTAAGAAGTAGGTAAGATAAATAATGTATAGATTGAAGCTTATCTGTTTAGTATTAAAATCATTAAGTGGGAATTCAATCGCAGTTTTGGTATCACACGGAATCTAAGCTTCGATAATCATTTTTTTAAAATTAAATATCGTCATATCTGTATTTCATTTTTCAAGGAAAGTTAAATTTATCTGATAACTAATGAATTGTCATCGATGGACACGTTGATGTAACACCTTGTTTGCAAATTACATTCAAACGTAATACCATATAGAAATGCATTATACAACAGTTGTTCAAAATGATTTTGTCATAAGAATGAAAACGCATTAAATAAGACATATAAAAAGGCAAATTACAAGTAAAATTTATAAAATTTACAGTATTCATTCCTTACTTATAACCTGTTCACTGATAGACATGGATTCATATTGTGCAGAAACAACAGAATTTTGTCATAAAAATATTGCAGATAGACTAAATTAATGCAAACAAAACTTTTCTAGAAAAGCATATTTTGGGAAATGGCGCATAAGTGCCTGGTAATTTTTTTTTTTTTTGAAGTTGTTGATACCAACTTTAAAGTTGGCTTTTCAAACTTTAAATTTGATAATTTCAATTTTCAAGTTGTTAATTCCAATTCTAAAATTAGTTTTTTGAACATTAATCTTGGGTTTAGCATCTGACCTAATTATATTTTGCACCTGAAGACAAGGCTACCGCAGCGACCGCAAAACCTTCGAACCTGACATCAAAGGCCACCGCAGCGACCACAAAACCTCCGAACCTGACACCAAACAAGGCCGATGAGATCTCCATCAACCCGTCTGTCAACAGCCTGCCCTCACTTCAGAAATTGTCTCTGTTTATATGATACTTAATCAAAAAAGATTCAACATTTTAATGGATATTGTTGAATTCATTTTGTGTATCAGTCTCCAGTTAAAATATTTAATAAAAGATGTTACCTAAGGTCATATGTTTCAATAATTTTGAAGATTTATAGCTATACGAACAAAAATATAGACACCATTTACATAAATTATGTACCATGGTAGACCTCTATATCATAAAAGAGGACACATACTTTCACGATATGTTAATATACAGGGTATTTCAACATAAGTGTCCCAAAACTGTGGTTTTAAAAAGTTACATGTATTGAGGATTTATGAAAGGAATATCTTGCAAAAAAGAAAAGAATTTGACCACACAATTTTTCCGTTAGCATAGTACAGTTTAACAAAAGCAGTACAGTGATCTCTTTTACCACACATTTGAATTAAAAAGACTACCTGATTCTTGATGATGTTATCCAAACTTTGAAAATAAAATTATGACGTGATGGTATATTGTGTTTTTAATATTATATTTTTATGTAAAAATTTTGATCCCTCATTGTGACCCGACCCTACCCCCGGGGGTCATGATTTGAATAAACTTGAGTCTACACTACCTGAGGATACTTCCATATCAATATGACTAATCATGGCCTTGCTGTTCTTGAGAAGAATATTTTTAAAGATTTCTTCCTATATATTTCTATGTAAAACTTTGATCCCCCATTCTGACCCCACCCTGCCCCCGGGGTCATCATTTGAACAAACGTGAATCTACAATACCTGGGGATGCTTCCATATCAGTATGACTAATCATGGCCTTTCTGTTCTTGAGAGGAACATTTTTAAAGATTTTCTTCCTATATATTCCTATGTAAAACTTTGATCCCCTATTTTGGCCCCACCCTACCCCCAGGGTCGTGATTTGAACGAACTTGAATCTACACCATGTAATGAAGGTTTTCTTTAAGTTTCAACTTTTTGGGGGCAGTGGTTCTTGAAAAGATTGTTAAAATATGCCAAAAAATTTCACTATTTCTGAATTATTTCCCCTTGAATAAGGGCTTGGTCCTTCATTTGAACAAACCTGAATTCCCTTAGCCCACGGATGCTTTGTGGCAAGTTTGGTTGAAATTGACCTGGTGATTCTGGAGAAGAAGTCGAAAATGTGAAAAGTTTACAGACGGACGGACGAACAGCTAGACGGACAGACGGACTACAGACAAAATGTGATCAGAAAGGCTAACTTGAGCTTTCAGCTCAGGTGAGCTAAAACTGTATATAGAGTCGGATTCTTTTTTATTCCGTAGAGATATACTTTGAAAGCTGTTGAATTGTCAGATGAAATAAATATTTCGATTAACCCTAAAATGACAATAACAACATATAGATAATTACACAACATATAGGCAAGCACATTTACTTAACAACACAAAATGAACACAATTTAAACACTTAAAACATTCTTTTAGGCCATTACGAAACGCATTCAAAGGAAGACAATTCTTTGAAAATCTTAGATTGAAATACTGGTAAAAATTATATTTCATAATACTGAAATATTTACCATATTTCAAGAATATGTATTCAACAAACCTGTGTATTGCACTGAGCGATTTATCTCTTGATCAGGATGACTTTAAGACTTATTGCATAATGACCTTATGGATTGATAAATTATCAACACATTATAATTCAGACTCAGATCTTAATTCCAAAGATCTACATGAAGTAAGTTAAAACATAACATGCTACAGCTTTACAATACGTTAAAATTTGTAACTTTAATAACTTAATTTAAAACAATCACTCCACAACATTCATACTCGCGGATTCTTAGCACGTTAAATTTTAAATATTTTATTTCCTTCATTATCGTCGCCCGCGTGGCACAGTGGTTAGAGCGTCTGCATGCTCTAGAGTCGCGATGTAAGGAGTTGATCCTTAAGTCACGGGTTCGAATCCCACTGTGGGACGTGGAGACCGGTCCTTCGAATGAGACCGTATAAACCGAGGTCCCGTGTCGCAGTAGGTGCTGGCACGAAAAAGA